TTTATGTCGCTGCTCACAACCAGCTATCAATAAGTGAGCGGCAAGTCTTGCACGCATAGCTTCAGGGATCTCGCCAGGTGGATTAACCAAAAATGTCGAGCGACCTCCAATTATTGCTCTGATATAGAGGTAGACGAACACATCACAGTCATAGCTGCAACATAAAATGATAAATTAGACATTTTCGTTATATCGAATACTAACACAATTTAGGGCCATGAACTAACCGCCCTCTTTGTTGCTCGCATTTGATGGCTCGGTATTTAAATACTCTGCGAACATTTGCCTCAACAAAATCAACATGCTGTTCATCAAAAAAGTTTATGATTTTATTAACAGGCTCCATCCAAGCTTCGTGGCCAGCTGAACTGTAGTGGTTGACGATCTTTCCTTTCAGGTCAACCAGAACAAGATGCCAGTGATCGTTCCTGACCAAGGGGATCAACAGGTGTTGTATACGGACAGCGGTATATTTTTCAATATAGTTCAAAAATAGCTCGTACTGTTCCGTCCCGACGCCATAGAGTGAGTGCTGCAAACAAAGTAATGTATGGGTTGAACTTAAAAGGGGAGAATTCAGGATTACGCACGATGGATGATGGAACAAACATGATATAAACCAGAACTTACAAGGTGCCAAATAGAATTAACATGACTAACGGTAGAACTAACATGACACATGGTAGAACTAACATTGAGCGAACTAGAACTAACATGACTCATGATAGAACTAACACGTTAATTGAGAACTGACATGTACTTACAAGAAAGTACACATAGACGATTCCAAATTTTTTGTCATATGCCTCTTGCTGAAGCGTTTCCAACAATGTCTCTTCCATCTATAACATCAATGAAACATTAAAATACAATACGCGAAAGACATTATCAATTATTAAGCATGTATAAACTAACCTTGTCATCAAGCCGGCCACCACGAAGCAAATACAACAGCTCTTCTCTGTTTATATGGCTGTTGTCTGTTCTTATGACAGCATATCTCCTGAAAAGCATAACAAAACGGCAATTAGGACTAACAATGGGACGAACTAGCATATAAATGGTCAATTGAAACTTACCTGTGAACCTTTTGGGAGCAAAATTTGGTTAGGCAATTATTTTCAGCCGTATCGAGTCTTGTTGATACTGTAGATGAAATCCTAAAATTATGTACAAAGGCACCAGAACTATTTAGTATGCGGATGTCAAAATCATCAGGGTTTTCAAGATCTTTATTTAGCTCGCCCAATAAAGATTTCTCCTCCGCTGACATTGGCTTCAACCTCAACGCATCCCAAGTGGGATATTGGTTGCCGGGGTAAAAATGGGAAACTTTCTTCTCTGTATGTACATATTCAGGACTTGATATAATATCTATCATTTCTTTTTGCTTTTTCTTTCCTTTTCCCTCTGTGTAAGGGGTCCTCTTCCATTTAGATCTCTTGCTTTCCCTTTTCAGCAGTGGACTACCTGCCTTGGGCTTATTCCTTGGTGGAGCTGCTTCATCTGTCTCCGATTGCACATTCCTTG